CATGGTTGCTGTTTTGATTCCATTCATTCCGTTTCTCAGCCAGCCGGGCCAGGATTGGGCAAAACCTAGCCCCACTTTTCACCCAGCCAAGTGGAGAGCACAGACCAAGTGTTGCTAACCTTAACGAACAATAATACATTGAAGAATCACAATTACGAGACGGGGAATCGAACTCAGGCCACCGGGTTCACGGCACTTCGTGCCAAACACCGTGCCACCGCACCAACCACAGGGCTGTCAAAATCGACGATACCGGCGATGGGCGCGTGACTATCGAATAACTATCGAATCAATTTCCATATTAGCGCCGTGATAGCTAAAGTAACATCATGCAGCACACGCAATATAATTACATGGATCCCCCCCCCCCCCAATGATCTCAGAAGCTTAAGCAGGGTTTCAGCCCCGAGAGAGTTTGGATGGGTGACCACCTCTGCGAATAAAACACGTGGGCAGCAAGAGGGCAGAAGTACAGCGAGATCTGATGTTCTGTATCATCCTCACCTTCACCAACCCGCACTGACCAGCATGGTGAAGTATGGCCATTCAACCCTCAGGGCCCGCAGGCGCGTGGGGGAGGTCCTCACCCCACAGTGGATTGGCAAACGGATATAGAACATTGTTTTATACGTGTGCAATAAAGTTTCGGCGATTTCATATCTACATGTACCGTGCGTATATATGTCTTGATGCAAATAAACCATTGTACTTTGATTTCCTGCGATCGCTCCCCTGCATCGATGGTGAGTGACTTGAGTGGCAGGCGAGAGGGCAAGTTGATCGGTGTTGTCACCTCGTTGGAGGCTGCGAAATGGATACTTGCTATCGGAAATAACGCGTGCGCGCGCGTGTGTGTGTGTGTGTGCGTTCATTAATACTGCAAAGACAAAGATCTCTCAACAGTCTGTCAGGGCGAGTGCTGTTATCGAGCACCTATGAAGGCCGGAACGGTACACGAGGGGATGGGTGGCCAGCACCACGCCCGACCGCCTTTGTCTCCCCAATGGCGATGTTTACACACCGCATCAGGTACTAATTTGAGGCTGAATCGACCTAGGGGAGGCCCATGACCGGTTCAGATAATCGTCACTGGTATTGGCCGTGAGCGGGAATCGAACCCAGATCACCGGGTTCATAGCGCGCTAATCGCTATACTACCGCTCCCCACACCACACACAGTCTCACACTCACAGACACACGCACACACACGTGCCCGCGTGTACATGTGTAGTGTTCGATTTCACTCGGACAACTTCTGTCTTTCTTCGAACACCGCTTTATTTTCAACTCCTCCACATTCCACAAGATCCAGGTCGCCACGGCTCGCTCGCCGTGCTTCACTCAACTCGCTCGCCACCTTTGTCTCTCCACTCTCCATGATTACTTCGCTTACTCCGCACTCAGCGACTCCGCACTCAGCAACTCCGCACACAGCGTCTTCGCACACAGCGACTTCGCACACAGCGTCTTCAGCTCCGCTATCACTACGCTCTCTCCACTATTGGCTATTCTCGTCTCCAGCTCCGCTATCGCTACGCTCTCCCCACTGCTAACTACTTCTCTTCTTCAGCTCTGCTATCGTTACGCTCTCTCTACTGCTAGCTGCTTCTCTTCTTCAGCTTTGCTCCACACTCTGTTTCCAAACTCCGTCTTCAACTCTGTCTCCAAACTCTGTTTCCAATTCTGCCTCCAAACTCTGTTTCCAATTCTGTCTCCAAACTCTGTCCCCCACTCTGTCTCCAAATTCTCCTCCAAACTCCACGTCTTGTTTTGTCCAGCTCCCAACTCCAATTCAACCCATCTCCAAGCTCAACTCCTTCAACTCAACTCCCCTCTGTTGACTCTGACTCCCGCTCTTATACCCACTCTCATAACACCCCCAATTAATTAACCCGCGTCCCAACGGCTCTCCGCGTGACCGTCACCTGTTTCTCACCAGATTTCCAGACGCCTCTCCGGCCCTGGTAACAGCACCAACCAATCACAGCCGTCCACGGCTCACTCAGCTTAATTGCCCCAACATAACCTGCACTGTATTCGCCTTCGCTACAGGCTGACCCAAGATAACCCGTACTGTCTGTGTGATCATGTAATCACGCTGTTTCCACAACGCATCTTCGTACTCCACTACACATGCACACACAGACACCCGGTGCAGCCTCATAGACCCAGGGTAATTTCCGTTCGCAAGCACCTATTAAGGTTGGGATAGACGCACGGCGGAGTTTTCGGCCAACAGCACGCAGCCAGCCCCCCTTTTGGCGCGCTACACAACTCGTTTATGGTTGAGTGCAAGGCCGTAATTATAATATATGCTCAAAATGTCCCCCCCCCCCCAAATATATTGCTATTAAAATAATTGCTATGCTATGTAAATAAAAACAACAATTTGCTAAACTTTGGCCACAATATCTGGACTTCTTCTTCATATAAATCAATGCATAGATTTCTGTTTATATGATTGTGGTTATGGTTGTACTTTATTAATCCCTAATCTATGCCATTACATACAATGAATCAAGAAATGTTTAAAAAGTTAAAACAGAGCAATGTAATACAACACACTATTAGACATTATTGTAAAAAATACATAAAAAGTCCATCCCATGTGTTACTGAATTTAAAAATATTTTAAGCAGGAAATTAGTTTTCAAATGTAGATATTTTTCTGGATTGGGACCCCCAGACATCGTGGAAGACTTGGTCCCCCCCCCAATGTTCATCCATGGCTACGGCCTTGGTTGAGTGAAAAAGCAAGCAAAAATAAAACCCTCGTTCAGATACCAATTTCCGCCGGCATTGTCGCACCACGGCCACGAATTGAACCCGGGGGTCACCATCGCAGACAGCAACAAAACAAACAATCGGCTAGGCGTGACACTGTCATCGTTAACAATGCCTCGTGACAAATCGTATACAATAGACTAACGTTCCAGGTCAAGACCCTTAGGAAAGACAGGGTGTTGTCCGAACGTGTTCACAGAGTACCATGGCGGCACTCGCATCTTCCCCTCTCCCCCCATTAGACAAGCACACAGTGTCGAGTGGACACCCGAAGTGTGCCACGGCGTACACGAGCGGGCTGGTGCGGCTCATCACGACTCCGGGTCACCTTTCGTCTCCCAAATTCTGAATGTTACCGCCCCAGGTCCTCATTAATGGTTGGGTCGACCTGGGGGGTGGGGAGCACGGGGATAGGTTCAAATGCCGCTTGCCACTGCTGTTGGGGAATAGAATCCCAGGTCACCGTCACGTCACCGGGTTCATAGCACGGTGTGCTAACCACCGCTGCGCCTCGTGTACGCAACGCACGTGCGTACAGGCGTATAGGCGCAGAGGTGTCACACACACACGTAGGAACACACTGTCAGGTGTACAAAGGCAAGTACACATGCATACGACCCTATATATGCGCATAGACATATAGAGTACATGCTCATATACTCATACATAGATCCCCATATATAGCCTTTAACACACTGTTGGGGCAAGTGCAGTTAGCGAGGCGAGCATAGCCGCAAGAAGGTGGGTGGCCAGCACCACTCCTGGCCGTCTTTGTCTTCCTATTTCTGATATTTACACACCGCACGAGGTGCTCATTTAAGGCTGAATCGACCGGGGGTGGGGGGGGGGGGGTCCAGCAGATCTTCAGACATTGGTTGTGAGCGGGAATCGAACTCGGGCCACCGAGTTCGGAGCGGAGGGCGCTAACAACTTGGCCAATACACCCCCTAACCGTTATCGCCGCATAAGCAAATAATTTGCACACATTTGCATATTCGCGTGGAACCTTGTTGTCAATGCACTGCTGGATGAGGGCCTCGCCACGCAGTGCGGGTCATGGGGGTTACTTGTCTATGCTTCACCGCGCTGGTCGGTGCCACTTGGCGAAGGTCGGGAGCATAGACGCTGGGGCATAGTACCGTGCAACAGTTGATGTTACTGCGTTGCCCTCCGGTGGCAACGTAGACCCGAAGCAGCCTATAACACCTGCTTTGTGCATGGTTGTTTGCCCACCCGAGCACTCTCCAGGGCCAAACCTGCTTAGCTTCTGAGACCCGATGAGACCAGGTGCATTCCAGGTGCGTGTATTACAGGCTTTCATTTGAATAAAGCATCATTGCAGCCACACAGCAATGCGTGCATGGCGAGAGAAAATAATCGATTGCATTGTCACTCAACTAAAAAACTAAACTATTTTTTATTTGACCAGGCATGGCCCACTGAGCTATATAGCTTTTTTTTCAAAAGCGACCTGGCCACAAATGATAGCTCAACGAAGTGGCTTATCACGTGGCAATGTATAGCAGCCAAATACTCTAAACGCCGTGATGTTGATTCTAAATGTGGAGGGAAAAACCGAAGGACCCGGAGAAAAATCCACGCGGCCACGGGGAGGACATGCAGACTCAAAAAATACAGGCGTCAGGGTCGAGATTGAAGCCACGACCTCCTGTATGCCGAGCGAGGTAGTTAACATCTCGCCACGAATCGATGCAAAGATACATTCCTAATTTTTAGGGCCTGGTTTAGATTAAAAACTCGACACACTGGTCAAGAACACTGTGACCTTAAAATGAAACATTTAAATAATAGGCGATGTTTAGTGCAATGGCCCTTCTTCAGAGCACACAGAGAGGACAGAGAGATCGAGTGGATTAACGTTGGAGACTGACGCATGGTTACAGTGCAGTCTCCCACCCTTATTCTCTCTGACTCTCTAAAAATGTGCAACGAGGAAGGGCCATTTCCCGAAACGTCAATTATACACTTTTGCTGTTCAAGCAATGCTGTTGACGCATGTGTTGAGGTTGTATTTGTCATTTGTGTTTGTGCACCCACTGCCGACGGAGTACCACCACCAAATAATGCGTTTTGGTTTAGGTTAGGTTACACAGTGCGCTAACCACTGCACCACCGCTCCCACACCGAACGACACACACACACCTACACGTACGCTTTAAGACATACGATACACACACGCGCGCACACGCACGCACACACGCGCGCGCACATCACCGCTATAAAACCCAGCAGGAGATGGAAGCGGCACTCGACACATAAGACTCCTCGAGGCCCTCTCGTTTCTCCTTCTCTACCCTCCTCAACCTCATCAATGGTGAGTGAGCCTGCACTGAACCCACTTCCCATCCCCAGGTATCATTTTTTTAAATCTCAACCCGGTGCTTTATTTCAAATTGGAATTTTCGTTTTCGTGAACGAATATCATCACACCGACAACGACGGCGGCTTCGTGCGTCTACAATTGCGTCTACATTTGTTCAACGGGATTATAGCAACATCGGGTAATGTACAATCGTATAGATTACTGACCAGGGCGTACCTGGTACTCTAGTTGAAGTGCCTTACGCCGAGAATCCCTACTCTAAGCCGTACCCGTAGCGTTCTGGAAAATATCAGGTGAGAAATGTAAGCCCTGGCTCAACTCGCCCAATCCCTTCCCGGTCTCCAAATGCAGATGTTTAAATACCAGAGTTCGATTCCTGGCTAGGGATAACGCGAATAAGCATTTGGGGAAATGCCTCCTTGCACCGTTGCCTCTCGCCTCCCAGATACATCACGTGGGGCAAGCAAGGCACCGTGGTCGCTATACAGTCAATGGGACGCATCGATTTTAATGGTTGTGACCAGTGGCGTAAACAAAGGTAAAGGTGCAGGCCCTGCAATTCCCTGCTCGTGCCACTGCTGGCGGAGGGGCTTCCTAAACTAAACTATGAACGAAAACTAATCAAGTGTTTTATTTTACATGGTTAAGGCCGACTGAGCTGTATCGCTCTTTTTCATAAGCGACAAATGATAGCGCAACGAAGGTGGCTTATCATCATCACGTGGACATTATATAGCAGCCAGGTGCTCTGAAAAGGGGAGCTCGAGTGAGGCCCTCCGGTGGCTATTGTGACCTCCCCTTCCACGCGACGCTGGGGCAAAATTACGGCCGGTTACCTTGAGGTGGGGAACCTCACGTGGCCGCGGGGCGTATGGAAAACGAAGTCGCCGGGGTCATTGCCGACCCGTCGGCGGTTGACCTCCCCAACTCCTGCCCGAGAAGCCACTGACAGTCGTGGTTAGAGCACACGTGTGAGAGTAAGCAGCCTCGTCGTCCTGTACGTTGCCTGTCTGTTTCTTTTGTATGCCCATCCTTCCGTCTGTTTTGTCTGTTTGAGTGTCGCTTTGTCACAATGTTTATTTTACATGTATGTTGCCTCTGTCTGTGTCTGTATGCATGTTTCTTTTTTTATGTGTCTCAGTATATGTCTGCGTGTTTGTCTGTCTTGTCTGGCTGAGTGTGCATCATCTGTCGTGTCTGCGTGTCTCTTTTGCCTGTCCGTCTGTCTGTATGTCTATTTTGGCTGGCTCAAAATATGTGTTGCGTCTGTGTGTTGTGTCTGCCTGCCAGGCGTACAAACAGGCAGACGCAGAGAAAATGTTTTTCGCCCTGGACAAGGTAGGGACCATTCGAGACTCGAGTTCCCTCATCCCCTTACCCACGAACCCCCTCACTCCCTCACACCTTCATCCCCTCACTATCCTCATCCCATCGGGTCCCCAATGCTGCCTCTTACACGAACCCTAAACCCTAACCCAAGAACAGACCCCCAAATAAACCGGGCCCGAACAATTTAGTATGCATCACGTGCCCATTAAAATATATCATCAACGCGCACCACGCACGCATCGAATTGTCCGTGCCGGAATCCAGACTTGACGATTTATTCCACGTGTCGCCTGTGACTAAATCACGCGACATGCGCCTGATCTCTTCAGATCTCGGAACCTAAGCGGACTTGACCCTGGGTAGTGCTTGGATGGGCGATCGCCACCATGCAGAGCAGGAGTTCGGTGATGGTCAGCAGAGGGCAGTGTAGCACAAATCAATTCGTCTTATATACAGGTAGTCCCCGACTTACGACGGCGCGACTTACGATATTTTCGACTTACGATGGGGTCGTCGTAACGCATCTCCGTCGTAAGTCAGGGACTACCTGTATGCACGTAGCCAATTGTGCTAATCGGAGGTGCGGGGGAAGGACAACAAGCTAAACGCAAAAAGCCGTGAATCTATATTTAGAGGTGCATAGCTCCAGTGGCTTCCTAATATCGGAAGGAAGAGCGTTCCAGACGGCCGCAGAAGCGCACCTGAAAGCGCGCGATGCCGTGAGTGCCGTCTTTGTTCGATGGCCGGCCAAACGCAGCTGCGAGGATGACCGCCGGGGTTCGCGTGATGATGGTTTATGCTCCTTGATGACATCGGCGAGGTTTCGTGGTTCATTTGTGGCAAGCACTTCGTGTGCAATGACCGCAACCTTGTAACGTATTCGTTCTGCAAACCGCCACGTATATGCTCCCCACCTTCGCCAACCGGCACTGACAACCACGGTGAAGCACAGCCAAATAAGCCCCACGAACACTGCACGACGTGACGAAGCGCTCATCATGTGCATCTTATGCAAATGATGTTAATATATGGGCGGGGGAGGGGATTCGGAACAACATTGGTTCGGAAATTACGATCTGAACCCGGATAACCGCCTAAGCACGTTTCCCTGCCACTGCGAACAACAATCGCCAGTGACATCCGAAACCGGTTCTGACACCCTTCACTCCCTTTTCAGGAGGGTCCTGCCACATTGGGTTATTTTTTTTTAGATGTTTTCAGACCAATTTACGATGAATTTATTATGTACGTGGGAAGGAGGAAACCGGAACATCCGGGGAATAAAAAAAATCCCACGCCCTGTGCGAAGGAGAAACGCTCTATCCCCGTACAGATGGCGATGAGCGCACACTTTTTCTCTACCGCCTTCTGCTGGCGAGCCAGGGGTATGACACTTCGACGCCCACGGGAAAGGAGTTTCACAATATCTGTTGCGGTTAATCCACCAGCCCTCGCTGCCGCGAAAGAGCTGAATAACAGGCAGCCACGCGCAGCATGGACACCACAGCCCCGGCTTTAATGTTGCGAATGTTATATCGAGGCTGCTAGGGTGAGCTACACGTGCACACATGAGACACCAGACAAGACGGACAAGAGAGAATCCCTTTTTGACTGGAATCGGGTCCCAGTCTTGTGATAATTCGTAGAATTGTCGAGCGTGGGGGAGGGGTGAACATACTTGATTGTCAATTTATCACGTAGGCTTTCGCGACCAATGATCATCCACAATATAGGTTTTATTTGGGTCAGATCACGTAAACATATATGTGCCGTTAAACCCGCCACCACCCGACAAAGCCAATTTAGTAAGGTTTTTGTCATGTAAACAACATTCCAATTCGTTACTAGTACAGCACACTGGTGTGTTGGAGAGCAAATCCACAACATTTACAATCTAAGCACGACGTTTCGTCAGTAATTAATTACAACTAGCATCATCAGGCAACAGCCAGATTTGTGGAGAAATCCTCCTGTTTCGTTCCTTAAATAGAGGGGTAGATGTGATGACGTCACGTGTGAGCCTTTCACGTGCGAAGGGGGGGGGGGGGTATAAATCATAATGGGTATCCATTGTCGGTTGGGTTATTAATTTGGTAAACCATATACATTATGGATGCACATTATGTATGTACATTGTTCTTGTATCTAGCAGCACCTGTTACTGCCTGCCTACACGTAATCCCCAGTGATGTATGGTGACCAGTATAGGCATGCATTTAAACAGTATATTATTTTATGATTCGCTTCCAAGCAACATTAAGCCTGTAACTATCCAAACGGTTAAAATTACTTTTATTTCTCTCAATTTCAATAGATTATTTAATTAGTCTTGGCCAGTAGTAACTAGTTTTGCACAAAACTTCAACATTATCCAAATCAATTGAGTGTCCTTGTTGGCACGCGTGTTCTGCCACTGCCGACAGTTGTATTTAGAGGCCGACCGAAACTGAATTTCTGGTTTCGGCCAAAACGGAAAGTAAAAATTTTGGCTTCGGCCGAAACAGAAACTATGCCGAAAGAGGCCATTTGCCAACTTTCGGCGCTGAAACCGAAACCGAATTTCGGTCGGCCTCTAGACGCGTCACAGACTCGCACGCACGCCCCAAGCCCCCTCCTGCTGTGTAGAACTCATGTGGAGGAGGGTTGAATTGGATCATTGGAGGGGTAGGTGGGTTGGTGTGTGTGCACACTATTGGGATCAGCACGCTGCTATAATCTGCTCAGTGTGCTGTGCGTGCGCGCATCTTTGTGCTGTGCGTGCGCCCGCGTGTGTGTGTGGTGCGTGCTGCCTGCGAGAGCCCAGCCTCTGAGACGCTCAAACAAAAGTGCTCCTAGTGGACTGCTGCTGCTGTTGCGAGTGCTGTTGCTGTTGCGAGTGCTGCTGCTGTTGCGAGTGCTGCATGTTGCTCGCTCATTTGGTGGTTTTGGGGGGGAAGTTATTTTTTTATTATTCTTCTCCGTCGTCTGTGTTATTCCCCACCACCACCACACCCCTCTCACCCGGGTCACCCCCATCCTTGCTTGAGTGTGCGTGTGTGCGCTGCTTGCGATCGCCGGAGAGTGAGGAGCGTCTGTCCTCAACCACCGCCGCCGCCGCTTCTGCCCGGAGTCGCATGCGCGCGCGCGCGCGCCTGTAGTTTAGAGGCCGACCGAAACCTAATCTCTGGTTACGGCGGAAAACGAAACCAGACCGAAAGTAAAAAAAATACTTTCGGCCGAAACCGAAAGTTAAAAATTAACTTTCGGCCGAAACCGAAACTATGCCGAAAGAAGCAATTTGCCAACTTTCGGCGCCGAAGCCGAATTTCGGTCGGCCTCTATTTGTATTTGGGAGTATTTAATATTTATTTGGTTTCTTTTAGTCTCGTGCTGATCATTCGTCCTGTCTGCCCAACATAACATTGCTTTTTCCATCAAGTTCATTGCATTGTGTCTGTCATGGGTGTTGTTTGACTATACTTCAGCACGCTGGTCAGCGCAGATTGGGGTGAATACGGAATACAGAGCTAGTGCAAATACCACGAGCTGTGGCCGGGACTCAAACTCACGTTAACTGGGTTCATTGCGCTGTGGGCTAACCACTGCGCCACCAACCCTGCCAAAGGAAACAAGCGTATGTCAATTTGCATATAATTTGCATAAACAGTGAAACATTTATTGTGCCGCGCATGCGATGGATGAGTGTGTGGGGGCTGATCTCCCCCTCCCCACTCCCCATTAGGTGGGGGCTGATCTCCCCCTCCCCACTCCCCATTAGGTGGGGGCTGATCCCCCCCTCCCCACTCCCCATTAGGTGGGGGCTGATCCCCGCCTCCCCACTCCCCATTAGGTGGGGGCTGATCTCCCCCTCCCCACTCTCCATTAGGTGGGGGCTGATCTCCCCCTCCCCACTCCCCATTAGGTGGGGGCTGATCTCCCCCTCCCCACTCCTCATTAGGTGGGGGCTGATCTCCCCCTCCCCACTCCCCGCGAGCGGGTGGGGTGCGACGTCTGCCTCCCCCACCCCCGTCCCCTCCGCGTCTGCGTCTTTCGGGGCCCCCCCGCGTCCCCGAGCGGGTGACCGCCCCCCCCGCCCCGTACCAGGGTCCTCTCGGACCGACGTAGCGAGCGGCTGGCCGACTCCGCTTCGGGGCTGAATACGCGCGCGTCTTCCCCCACTCGCGTGCCCTAACTGCGGGGATTATTTAAGCGTTTGCCTCGCCGTTGTGTTGGGATAGTAAATTATTTCTACTAAGCCGTTGTATCAACAAGCCAAAGGTGCTCGGAAGTAGTTAATCTCTGCACGCTACTCGCATGGTGCGGTCAAGCGTCGGGTATTTTTATATGCGCGCGCTCGGAATCAATTAATTACTCCCTGCGCGCTACGCGTCCCTCTATTTAATTATTTATTTATGGGTGCGCGCGTCGGGCATATACTGATTAAAGTCACCCCCACACCGTCGTACGCCGATCGCTATCCCACCGCTCTTCACACGCACACAGGCACCACGCGTCACAACGTCAGTCTGTGCTAAGATTTTATTCCCGAAGCGAATAGGGGACCCCTGTCTATCGCCCCCTTCAGCCAGCACCCTTCGGACGCGCCTAACCTCCTATCACCTACCCGTCGCGGAGTGCGTCTACCATCCAAGCTCGAGCTGACTGAATTGACCCCTCTTTTCCTGGGGAAGATGCTCGCCTTGGGAACTTTTTTCTGATCGATCGCTTTCAGCTCCACCCTGCAGGCGTCGCATGGACGCTGAGGACGGCTCGTCTCTCTCGCCGCTCCAGAAGGACTCTCACACAAATTCTCCCCCCTTATATGTCCAAAGCCCCTTAACCCCCGGGTCATATGACGTCATCCTGCGCATCCAATCGAATCCTCTTTTCGGCCGTTTTGAGCGCTCTGGCCGTTGGGGGAGGGGGGGGTCGCGTCATCCCCCCCCTTCCCATTGTCTCTGTGCCTACGTTCCTCGCCGGTGATTCATCGATAATCCCCTCGCCCTCTCCCACTTAAGTCAACTCTTATCGGCCTGGGGCTTCTCCCTCCCACCCTACTGTTTACCCTGCCGCTGGGTACTGGCTGAAGTTCCCATCCCCCCGTGTTGTGCATGCTTCATCGCGGCCGGCCTGTCAAGCTCTATGCCCCCTTTTTTGGGGGGCCGCCATGTAATCCGGTCTGGGGGGCTCAGCCAATTTCCTGGTCCGGGGAAACCGTGGAACGTCCCTGTTAGTGGGGTCCTCGGGTGAAAACCCATCGTACCAGGTGATCCCCCTTCGAGACCTTATGGGGGTGCATGTGAGTGTTTAGTGGGGTGTGCGTGCGTTCGTGGGGGGGGGGGGGGCGGGGGGGGGGCGAGGAGCGGGTAGCGCCGGCCGAGCTGCTCCGCTGCGGTGGCACCACAAGTGCGTACCACGGGAGAGTGGGGAATTATTTATAAAATAATCGATAAATGTCAAACGTCAACTGAGAGCGCTGACTACCAACAACTGTGGCGTTAAACACTGCCCAGCCTCAATCGAACCATGCATCTAGGTATGTATGTTGAACTGAACTTGTTTCGCACCGTATGTAGCCAACCGTGCTAATCGGAGGTGGGAGTCTCCAAACATCCCAGCGGAGCATGACCCTTGAGACTCAGCGACGCCTGGCTGGGAGAAATAAAGCACTATATTAAACTTAGTATTATTACCAGAATCAAATCCTAATAATTTTATATACTGTATTTGTGTGTTCTGTATTTGATGCATTCTATTAGCCGTGTATTCTTTGTGCTGGTTGTACCATTCTGATGCACTGCCTTGCCATTTGGAACTTGACCCAGCGCAGTTGTCCATGGATAGTTGTATTCGTGTTTGTGTGCTGTTACCAGGTCTCTGTAACCAGGTCTCTGTAACCAGGTGCCCATCAAAATGGGCATTTATTGCCCAATGGGTTTTATCTTGCGTCAAATATAAACCTAACCTAAATAGACTCGAACACACCCTAAACCATAAATAACCATGCTTTGAAACCGGGCTCTAATGCAGCCTCTTACCAAACATTATTCTCATAATTCATACTGAAGCTGACATCATAACCCACTGCCTGGACCCTAAAAAATTTCTGTCACCTGAACTCTGACTAAAATCCGGACCTCAAAGCGTAACCGTTGAATAAATGTGCAGCCCACTGCCGGCTGAGGGTCTCCTCACGCCGTGCGGGTCATTTGGCCATAAATCACCACGCTGGTCAGTGCGGCCGGGCAATCATGGGCCGTTGGAGCAAAGACTAAATACAGTACATGGTGGTCTAGATGTCTTGTGACCCCCCCCCCCCCCCCCAATGAATCCACCCCTAACATTCCCCCACCCCTCCCCCCGCATATTCAGTTCTGGTGTAAATAAACCTTACGCAGTACTTTGAGAAAATATCACGTGAAAAGTGAATTAAATGGGGCGGGGTCACAAAGCATGCGGACCATCCTGTACAGCAACCGATGTGATTGCACCGCCCTCTGCTGACAACGCAACCCCCACAGCAGCCTCACAATCCGGGGCCACCGCGAGAGGGCTGCTGGGTTGGGACGTGCGCCATCAAATATCCCTTGCGCCCCCCCCCCCGCCGCTTTCCCTCCTCCTACATCACCCAAAGTTCACTCTCCTGGGGGGTTAATCACTGTCACGGTGTCGCGGTGGCCGAACGCACCCCACTCCGCACACCATGCGACAGGAGGAGCTGGAGCCGAGCCCGCAAGGCTTGTTCTCCTTGCCCGCACAACTCCCCGACTAGCGCGGTTGGCTACGTACGGTGGGAAATAAGTTCAACATATAAACATAGATAGATGAAGGTCGTCCGTCCAAATACTATGCGTGCTCAACCCCCGGCTCGGATTTCCGAGATCTAACGATATCGAGGCAGCATTCTGGGTGAGTTTGAGACAGGCAATACGAACCATGACTACTTGCCCTTAAACCTATGTAACAATGTTCTTTCGAGGACCCATATCAATCAGATATTGACGTTGACCTATCTCGACTGTGTTGGGGCATTGCCGCCACACATTCGCACTTCTCCCTGCACATCAGGACACGCCCTGCACTGCGCCCTGCACCGCAACTCACCTGACCCTGCACACAATGATTAGCCACCACGCCCTGCAATATCCCCGGGGCATGCCGAGGAAGCCAAAGGATTTCTAAAACGTTGATATTAATAGCGAGAACGGGGGGGGGGTCCGTACCTCGCTCTCACACACACCCAGCCCGGCTGTCTGCATCTTGCTGTCTCTCTCACACCATCTCACACCCATAGACCTTATGTTACAAGGAACTTGTCTCATAGCAACAACCGGCATGTACTGCGTGTATCAAACAACAGTCAGCAGACTGTATGTATGTACAAACTTACATACAAAGACAAAGATCCCCCGTATCGCCTTAACAGACTGTAGGAGCAAGTGCTGTTAGCGAGCACCCTATGAAGGCCGGCACGACACACGAGGGGGTGGGTGGTCAGCACCACGCCCGGCCGCCTTTGTCTCCCGAGGGGCGATGTTTACACACTGCACCGGGTACTCCTTTGAGGCTTAGTCAACCTAGGCTAGGCGCAGGGCCGGTTCAGATAATCATCACTGGTGTTGGCCGTGTGGGGAAATCGAACTCGGGTCGCCAGGTTCATAGCGCAGCGTAGCGCTAATCGCTCCACTATCGCGCGCACACACACACGTGCCTAACGAGTCGTTCGTTGTCTGGCTCACACACAAACTTGCCGAGTCTCTCCCACACATGTCTATGTCTCGCCTCTATCACACACACACACTCTCAAGTGTCCTCTCACACGTGGATACATACTACATGGGTCCATTTCACACACACACACATGTCGCTTGTTGCAGAGGTTCACGGCTGGAATGCAGCGCGTGTAATAGCCATTTTAACACTGCACGCCATTGGCTTCACAGTCGAAGTTAAAGTTCCCCTGATGGCATTGGCAAGAGTAGAGGACAATTGGGTGCCTGGCGTCAGTCAACATTGTTTGCCATATTCTAAAATGACACGGCAAATTACTCATTTGGGACTACACACAGCGACCATCGCCCCCTACTGGAAGACTAATGCCTCGGGTCACTATTGCAAATTAGACTTTCCTGATCTCTTGAGTTCTCCTCTGGTTAAACAAAATCATCTTGAAACGTTCCAACTCTGCCTCTCTCGCACACATCCTCGTTCTCAAATCGCGCTCTCAAAATGCACAAAGCGCGTGCTTAAATGTGTGTCTCAATACGGCTGTGTCTGTCGATGGTCAAGAATAATAACGGAGTGGCAGCCAAGGAATGGAACGCGTCCGAGAGAACGTCCACCGAGTGGATGGAGTGAAGAAATCAGCTCGCGCGCGGGTGCTAGGTGGATTACTACATCACATGATCGTGGGAGGTGTATGTACAGTATGGAGAATTTCTTTCGCACCGTACGTAGCCAACCGCGCAGTCCTAAAGAGAGTAACTTTAAACGTAGATTTAAAAGTACATAGTTCCAGTGGCTTTCTAATATCGGAGGAAAGAGCGTTGCAGACGTCCGCAGGAGTGCATATGAGCGCAAGCAACGCAGTGCTCATCTTTGTTCGATGGTTCGCCAAAAAGCCGCTGCTGCGAGAATGACCGGAGTTCACGTGATGATGGTGTATGATCCTTGACGAGATCAGCGAGGTTTTGCGGTTCATTTGTGGCAAGCTCTTTGTGTTTTAATAAATGCGACCTTGGGGAGGCCTTCATCCGGCAGTGGATTGACCATGGCTGATGATGATGGATGTCTGCCTCTGACCATCCCTCCTGTATCCCATGCACCGCTCTCGTCCCGTGCCCTAACCCTGCCCCGCGATCGCCCAGGATGGCTCGGGTTTTCTGACGATGAACGAACTCCAGGCCGGAGCGAAGACCCTTGGCGTGGCCGAGGACAAACTCGAGGACTTCATGCGTTCGGCGGACACATCCGCTGATGGCAAAATCGACATCAAGGGTTCGTGTGGAGGAGCGCTCATAGCCAAGCCACTCCAAGTACACGCATCCCCAAAACCACTCTCAACGCACGACCACTCACATGGCCAACTCTACCGCTCATGCAGCACACCACCACCTCACCACCACCACTCGCACAGCCATCTCTACCACCGATGCAGCACACCACACCACCACACTCACCAGACTACCACCACTCACACAACCACCTCTACCCATACCACACCACCACACTTACCATACCACCACAAGAACACCACTCACACAGCCACATCTATCTACCCATACCACACCACCACTCTTACCATACCACCACACCACACCCAACCAGCCGTACCCTAATCGAACAATCACGAACATTGGCAATGAGTGCACACGTACAGCGAGTTTTGTCAGTCCACTGCTGAATGAGGAAGGAATATTAAAATGCCTCAATCGAGAGCGCAAGGGAAACTGCAGCGATTGCGGTAGTACAGCATACAGGGGAACCTGCGTGATCCACCAACCCCTGTGCTAAGATCACAGTCGCAGTCTCGTAGAAATGTACACAGTGGCTGGGATGACGCTGCTGCCAACACCAGTGACGATTATCTGGACCGGTCCTCAGCCTCTCCCAGGTCGACTCCACCTCTGTAAACATCACCACTAGGGAGACGAAGGTGGCCGGGTTTATTGCCGGTCACGTACCCCCTCGTGTGTAGCGCCGACCTTCATGGGTGGTCGCTCAACAGCACTTGCCCCAACAGTCTGGCAAGGCTATACGGGAGATCTTTGTCTTGTCTTTGGCGTTAGCCCAGCCGAAGATGCTGCGAGAACGACTTCACCAGCTCCAGGCGACATTCGCATGGCCTTGTTCCTTTAGGGCAGGATTTGAGTTTGGTGGGGGTGTGGGGATTAGATGGGGGGGGGGGGGAGGCTATAATCGGCGTGTGAAACTGTGGAGAACATGGGAGTCTGATGACTCCAACATTCTGTTGAGTGTTGAGAGTGGGGCAACATGCAAAATTAACAAAACGCCCTCAACGTATTCGTGACGACACACTGTGACATTAAGAGGTTAAATTGCTTCTCTGTATATGTGTTAGGAAACTAAAATTTTAAATATATATATTTTTTACCAGGTAAGGCTGACTGTGCAGTCAAGCTACTTTTTCAGAAAAGGCAGATATTGTCCACCTTCGTCGAGACGAGAATGATACATGGACGCCCCTCTATCAATCGTGATGCTGATTCTGCATTGTTGTTCATGTTGCTGTTGTTGTTGTAGAATTCGTGGCTTACATGACTGGAAAGTGAACCCAGGGGACCAGAACAATGCGGACACGTGGGGAGGAGTGACATCGCGTGCACCGCACACACACGTGTGCACACACACACGTGTACACACACACACACACGTGTACACACAACAACAACAACAACCGCCATTCGCCACTAAGTGGCGGTGACGTCACCACGACGCTTGTGCCAGGCCATGTGCACATTGAGGCCACGTAAAGTGTCGAACGCCCACTGGCAGGAGGTCACGGGGCAGACTCAAGTGCCACGGGTCGACTGACTAAGATGACTGAGATGACTGTCTGATGCACCATCTGTGCCCCCTACTGTGCCAACTTGCTCCATTGTTGTTTGAGGGCGACTGCCTCCAACTGCCCAGTAGCGTCCTTCACGAGCCTCCTCCACAGAGGCCGATCTTGACACCGCTGGTACTAGTCATCGGCAAGTCCACTCAGCTCCACGTCCTCCTGTACCACATCACTCCATCTCTTCTCTTGCCCATGCCGCGCCCGTTTAGCCCCCTCGATCCGGCCGAACAAAAGCTGTTTCGGCATGCAGTGGCTGGGCATGCGGGCTACATGACCCAGCCAACGCAGCCTTGTCTGCCGGAGGAGCTCACCGATGGGACCTTGCCCAGATCTTTCAAAGATTTGTGAGCTCCTCACACAATCCAGCCTGTTTAAAGCCAGGATGGATCGTAGGCAGGCCAGCCTAAATGTTTCTAATCGGCGAAGATGTTCCACTAGGGGGGTCCACGTTTCGCAAGCGTAGAGAAGGGAGGGAATGACCATGACCGAGAAGACCTGAAGCTTAGTGCGGAGCGATAGACCAGGTAGCTTCCACACAGCGTTACGCAACTGATGAAAAGATATTGCCACTCGACTGATTCGGAGTGAGACCTCTGCTGTCAAACTGGAGCCGGCCATAAGCACACTGCCCAGGTATGGGAAACTCTCCACTCTCTCCACAACTGCCCCATCACCGATTGGGAGTTGTGGGGGTGGAGTGTCCGATGGTGCAAAATACCCAAGCAGGTGCTTAGTTTTGGTGGGGCTGATAGTAAGGCCCCATCTCTTAGTGGCACGCTCCAGTCTCAGCAGCAGTGTCTCCAACTCCTCCTCTAAATGAGCAGCTATTACCAAATCATCGGCATACATAACGTGGTTGAGCAATAGCGAGCCATCCCTTGACTGCACCCGGGCATCGATCAGCCTCCAATTATATCTGTACCAAATGGAGATTCCCCCGGTAAAGCTATTGAAGGCTTCACGAACTACGTGGTCCAAATAGATGTTAAATAATGTGGGAGCCAGAGGACATCCCTGTCTCACCCCAAGGTGTACAGGGAATGGCTCTGACTCCTGGCCACGTAGTTTTAACCGGGCCCGCTCACCATCATGAAGGTCCTTAATGATCGTGAGTAGAGGGTCAGGGACTCCAAAAGCACGAAGAACAACCGAGAGCCCAGGCCTACTGATGGTATTATAGGCCTTGACCAGGTCAATAAAGCAGAGATGTAGGTCTTGTTGGAATTCCCTATACCTCTGCAGGACCGCCCTTTCCTGAAACCGCATTGGGGCTTCGCAAGCCTCTCCTCAGCGTGCCTCGGAAGGTGATGTTGAATAATCCTTGCCAGGACCTTTCCCGGCGCACTGAGGAGTGAGATGCCCCTGTAATTGTTACAGTCTGTGCGGTCTCCCTTCCTAAAGAGGGAGGCCACCAGGGTATCCTTCCAATCCTGCGGAACCCGACCAGTGGTCCAGACTGTTGTTATGATGTCATATAGGACAGTCTGTGCACAAACGCCACCCTCCCTCAGCATTTCGCTTGGGAGATCATCTCTACCCGGTGCCTTTCCTGGTCTCAGACTCCAGATCGCCTTCAGTACTTCCTCAACAGATGGCACCTCAGCCAGCCACTCACAGGGGGTGACTTCTTCCAATATTTGAGGCACTACAGCCTCAGCAGGGTCATTCCCACTTTGTGCCACGATGTTTTTCTGGCTGATGGATTTCTCCTCCCCCAGGACCTCACAGAAATGCTAAGCAAATCTGCAAACCTGTTCCTGGAGGTCGGAGATTGGATCACCGTTTTTTTCCCCTAATTATGGTAATAGGTGTGGCGCTGCAGGTTACTTTTTTGATGGAGTTAAATAGAGATTTGTGATCGCGGGCCTTTGAGGCGGACTCCATCTCCTCAGCAATCCGCGACCACCACCCATCCTTGCAGCACCTCACAGCTCTCCGAACCTCCGAGCGAAGGCTGCGGTAAGCCTCCTCATTCTCTGACGTGGGATTCTGTAGCCGATGACAGTGGGTCTGTCGCTTTTTCTCAACCATCCTGAACATCTCCTCTGTCAGCCAGGGTCTCTGGAGAGGTCTGGACCGCGTACCCAAAGCAGCCATTGCAGCTGCATGAGTCATAGTCCTAAACCTCGCCCATTTACCCTCGACATAAGGAGGAGTGGGGGGCGATGCCAACCCCAGCTGCAAGCGATGATGAAATTCTCGCTTGCAACTTTCATCAGATAACTGAGACCAGGCCACTTTAGGTTGGAATGGGGTCCTGGGTGTACACCCACCACCGGAGTGGAAGAATGGCAGGCGCATCTTACAGATGACTAGTCGATGGTCAGAGGGCAGATCAGCTCCACAGTAAGTCCTGGTGTCAAGGACATGGGCTCGCATCCGCTGGTCCGTCACTATGTAGTCCAGCAGATGTTCTTGCTTGGACCCGGCATGCATCCATGATGTTGTGTGGATGCGCCGATGCCGGAACAGCGTGTTGGTAATTACAAGCCCATGGGCTGCACAAAAATCTAGGAGCCTCCTACCGTTGTTATTGAGCTGATCTGGCCCATGCCCTCCAATCACTCCAGACCAGGTGCCAGCATCATGACCAACTCGGGCATTGAAGTCACCCAACAAGATGACTCTATCCCGAGGGGCCACTTTAGCCAGCACCTGTGACAAGAGGTCATAGAAGGCATCTGACTCATTGGCTTTGCCTGCATCCCTCCACGGATGTTCATCTTCGGTGGGGGCATAAGTAACCACGGCCACCACTCCTCACCTCCGGTTGATGGGAAGGCGAGCCCAAAGTAGCCTGGGGCTTACAGCTTCCCCCACCTCACTGCCACGCTCCCACGTCCCCCCTTCATTCTTTTGTTCAAAAGAAGAGCCACACCCTGTTGTTTGGCAGTCTGCTGCCCCGAGTAGAGGACTGTCTACCCCTCATGGTGGCAGGAGCCAGAACCGGTCCACCGGACCTCCTGAATGTCATAGAGATCCAGGCGGTACCGGTCCAGCTCCCGACAGAGGAGTGGCAGCCTCTCCTCCGCAGTGAACGTTCGAACATTCCACGTGGCCACACGAAGTGGCTTTTCGTTATTTCTGGAGGAGCCCCGAGGGTAGAGATTCAATCTCCTGGCTCCGCCAATTGAGGTTTGGCCAGGAGACGTCATAGACGCCTGTTCCCCCGGGGCCTCTGGCACAAGCTTATTAGTTATATATTTAAGTCGTGGTTTCGTGGTAATTTTTTGAAGGTGGAGGGGTTACCAGCCCCTCGCACCCGTCCAGAGCCCCCGTTTAGCCACTGTGGTGGTCACAGACGCCATGAGGGGAGGAGTCAATCGGAATGGCCCTCTCCCCACAGCACTGTCCACGACAGAGTTGCCCGTCCGGCACCCCGAGGAGGTCGGGGGTTGTTTTGCCGGACACACACATGTGTACACACACACACGTGTACACACACACACGCAGACGTTCATACACATGAAGATCAAAGACAAAGATCCCCCGTATAGCCTGCACAGACTGCTGGGGCAAGTGCTGTAAGCGAGCACCTATGAAGGCTGGCACGGCACACGAGGGGGTAGGTGGCCAGCATCCCACGCACGGCCGCCTTTGTGTCCCTAGTGGCGATGTTTACCAACCGCACCAGGTACGCATTTGAGGCTAAGTCGATCTAGGGGAGGCCCTGGACCAGTTCAGATAATTGTCACTGGTGTTGACCGTGAGCGGGAATCGAACTCAGGTGGCCGGGTTCGTAGCGCAGCGTAGCGCTAACCACGACACTACACTACCGCTCCCCACACAACTACGTGCACTCACACACACACACGTGCTCACACACGCACACAGACACGCACAAAATACACAAGCTCACGCAATACGCATGCTTTCACGCGTGCAAACTAACGATATTATACACACGTACACTAGCACATACATACATACACGCATACTAATAAATACGAGTATACATACACACCGAAACGCACACTGTAATATATCCTTACACACACACACTGCCGCACAGTAAGTCGCACAAATATATGCAGTTAACGCATGGACGCTACTATATATACACACACACGTCGACCGATAACACAAGCACGTCCAGAGCAATAATACACGTGCACACTCATTTATTGCCAGTGTACATATTTGCACACGTGGAAAACATCTGTAAGGGCCCACGCACTTGCAGAGACGCGCACGTACACACCTGTACACGAGAGAGTACATTGAGTGTGAATGTATTTTATTCTTTACAAGGACGATCCCGTTTAGCCAGTTTCCCGGCTATATTGACATCTACGTGTACACAAAGACAAAGAGCCCCCGTATAGCCTTACCAGACTTTTGGGGCAAGTGCTGTTAGCGAGCACCTATCGAGGGTGGCATAGCACACTGCACCAGGTACTAATTTGAGACTGAGTCGACCTTCGGGAGGCCCAAGGCTGGGTTATATCATCGTCACTGGTGTTGGTCGTGAGTGGGAATCCAACTCGTGTCTCTGGGTTTGCAGCGCAGCACGCTAACCGCTGCGCCACCGCTCCCCACACACATACAGAACGCAGACGCAACAGACGGGGTGCATTATATTCACAGACGCTCATTCATCACTGTGAAAAAGTCACAGACGCTCACGCACACGCGCACAAACACTCACTCCACACCTGCAGTCGTTTGTGCCCCCTTATACGGTACATACATGTGTGTGTGTGTTGCCTTCAAGACTAACAAATAAACGTTTCGTATTGAGAAACAAAAAAAACCTCCACATTCAAAAGAGCCTTACTTCATCATCAGGGCCTAATTTCAGCACGCATGATATCCCGGGGCTGAGGTCCGGAAAAATGTCGGGTCTGGCCGAATTGTGGCGCCCATGC